TAAAATCGGCATAATTTTACCTAATTTATATAGTTGTCTTGATAATTAATTAATTAATGAAAAATGCCTCAAAGAGTACTAGGCACATAGTAACCATTCAATCAACATTTTTATTAAAACTACTTCTGTCTGTATGTATCATAGCTTATTATAGTTTTTGCTCTTTGTCCTTAAAAAATTGGCTTCTGTGATAAAGAACCAGTTGTAAATTTTGAAAATTAAAGAGTTGCTTGCTGATATGATCAATTAGTAGACCAGACACCACTGAAGAACAAATTAATGAGTCAGGTGACCAAGCTAAAAGATTTTTCTTAAACAAATGATAGGAGATGAAAATTATGAGAGGAAGAATCCAGAAGTTTTAACATCTATCTAAGAGACGTTCCAAATAGAAAGTCTGAAGGAATGAAGAAGAGAAAAAAAATAGTATTTTCTTAAATAATGGAAGGATTATTCCCAGTTTTAAAGAAATTCGTATTAGAAGAGTATACTAACTGCTAAGCAGAATTAGTGAAAAAGTTGCATACCTATCTTCATACTGGTAAAGTTTCACAAAACCAGGGATATAGAGAAAATCAATAAAGCTTCCAGAGGGGGGAAAATTAGGTTATGTACAGAAATCAGATTGATATCAGACTTATTAGCTGTATCAAGTTACAGAAGACTGTAGGCAAAATAGCTTTGAAATTTTGAGGGGAAGATTACTTGGAAGTCTCAAGTTCTGTTCTAAGCAAAACTAGCCTCCAAAATTGAGAACAACAACGAAAATTACATTTCAGAAATATGAAGACTCAAACATATTTTGGCAGAAATTCCTTAAGGAGGACTAACAGAAGGATGTGAGATATAACAAATAAATTATAAGAGAATCCAACAGACTTACTGAGTCAAATCTAAATATTTAGAAATATTCTGTGACACAAAAGGAATAGTAGTAGTAATAATAATGGCAATTTGGGGGAACTATTGCGTGTTTTGTTCAAATTTTGGAAGAGGGACAAGAGGAAAGCATACTTTTTTGTTTAGGGGAAGATTGTTTATTAACTCAATGTTGACAGTTATTTAAAGTTTGTTAGAAATAGAAGAGTGAAGTTATTTAAATTTAAATGTTAGAAAAATAAAGTAAAGCATGACCTTTAAAATAGTAGAGTTTATAATTTCCAAGTTATTAGAAGAGGGGTAAGCAATTGTGAATGGGAAAATTTTTTGTTACATTTTTATGTTCCTTGATGCAATATCCTTGGTATTATTGTAACTTAATCATAATAATGATAATAGTGATTACTTATTGAATACTTTGTGCTAAATAATCTTGTTTATTTCTTACAGTTCCTATTGGGTAAAATACTGTTGTGGCATTATGCTTATTATTACATTTGGGATCAGTGAGGGACAATGGCTTAAGGCTGACCAGCTGGCTTGTGGTGGCTCCCTGATTTTAACCCACACAGTCTCACTCCTGAGTCACACGAAGCCTACAGACTGCACTGTGGGTGTAGGTGTCTTCAGGTGAAAGAGGAGAGACGTGTCGGTGTCTATCAGGTGGCTGTCACTGACAATAAGTAGAGTGGGTAAGCAGCAGTTGAACACGTGTCAGCAAGACCTATGCTAAACTTATTTATATTTGTAGAATATAGTATTCTAGTTTGAACTTGTTTTTGCTTAGTCACTCAGTCATGTCCAACTCTTTGAGACCCCCCCACCAGGGTCCCCTGTCCATGGGGATTCTCCAGGCAAGAAAACTAGAGTTGGTTGCCATGCCCTCCTCCAGGCGATCTTCCCAACCCAGGGATCCCACATTGCAGGTGGATTCTTTACCATCTGAGACACCAAAGGAAGCCTACGAATACTGGAGTTGGTAGCCTATCCCTTCTCTGAGGGAACCTCCTGACCCAGGAATCAAACTGGGGTCTCCTGCATTGTGGGCAGTTCTTTACCAGCTGAGCTATCAGGGAAGCCCCAGTTTGTACTTACTCAAACCAAATAACGTGGTCAAAATCCTTCAAGCTAGGCTTCAGCAGTATGTGAACCAAAAACTTCCAAATATACAAGTTGGATTTAGAAAAGATAGAGGAACCAGAGATCAAAAGGCCAACATTCGTTGGATCATAAGAAAAGCAGATGAGTTCCAGATAGACACCTACTTCTGCTTCATTGACTACATTAACGCCTTTGACTGTGTGGATCACAACAAACTGTAGAAAATTCTTGAAGACACCACCATACCTGCCTCCTGAGAAACCTCTATGCAGGTCAAGAAGCAAGAGTGGAACCAGATGTGGAACAGTAGACTGGTTCAAAATTGGGAAAGGCATATGACAAGGCGTATGTATGCTGTCACCCTGCATATTTAACTCCCGTGCAGAGTACATCATGTGAAATGTGGGGCTGAATGACTCACAAGCTGAAGTCAAGATTGCTGGGAGAAATAGCTTCAACTTCAGATATGCAGATGGTGCCACTCTAATGGCAGAAAGTAAAGAGGAACTTAAGAGCCCCTTGATGAGATTGAGAGGAGAGTGAAAAAGCTGGCTTAAAACTTAGCATTCAAAAAACTAAGATAATGACATCTGGCCCCATGACTTTATGGCAAATAGATGGGGAAACAATGGAAGCAGTGACAGTGTTTATTTTCTTGGGCTCCAAAATCACTGCGGACAGTGACTTCAGCCATGAAATAACCGAAAAAAAGTCCAACTAAAGTCCTACAACTTTACTAAATAACCAAATAAAGTCCAAAAAATCAAATAAAACCCTACAGTCTTTTAAATCATTGATTAAATGATGTAATGATAGTTCTATATGTTTTCCGGGTCCTACAGTATCTACCTAATGACAATAACTATTGTCTTAGTTGTGTTTGATTGCAAGAAACTACCACTCATCCCCTCTAGCTGAAATAAGAAAAGCATGTTGTAAAGATACACATATTGTAAAGATACACAGTAAGGGAGATGGAGTCTTGTGGATAGTCAAGAGGAGAAACCAAAGACTGACCAGCCCTTGTTGAAAACTGCCTTTTGTTCTGGATCACAATCAGCTTTAGGGGCCTCAATAGCAGAAGTTGTTTAGGTCTTCACTACAGTGCGCCCCCTTTATTTTGCCTCAGGTACTACTGTCTCTATTATCTTCTTTTTTGTCCTCTGTCTTATATACCAACTTGTTTTCTCCGTGGTCCCAGGTAAAATTTCTGAGAGAAAACATTTGACTAGCCAAATAGTTATTGTGCATGGCCCGGGGTTATCATGCTTCATGGGGTGTCAGATAAAACTAGATTATCTGCTTTAAGTCAGGTATATTTACCACAGTTCAGTACAGTTCAGTCGCTCAGTCGTGTCTGATTCTGTGCGACCCCATGGACTGCAGCACGCCAGGCCTCCCTGTCCATCACCAACTCCTGGAGCTTACTCAAACTCATGCCCATTGAGTCGGTGATGCCATCCAAACATCTCATCCTCTGTCACCCTCTTCTCTTCCTGCCTTCAGTCTTTCCTATCATCAGGGTCTTTTCACATGAGTCAGTTCTTCACATCAGGTGGCCAAAGTATTGGAGTTTCAGCTTCAACATCAGTCCTTCCAATGAATATTCAGGTCTGATTTCCTTTAGAATGGGCTGGTTGGATCTCCTTGCAGTCCAAGGGACTCACGAGTCTTCTCCAACACCACACACAGTTCAAAAGCATCAGTTCTTTGGTGCTCACCTTTCTTTATAGTCCAACTCTCACATCCGTACATGACTACTGGAAAAACCATAGCCTTGACTAGACGGACCTTTGTTGGCAAAGTAATATCTCTGCTTTTTAATATGCTGTCTAGGTTGGTCATAACTTTTCTTCCAAGGAGTAAGTGTCTGTTAATTTCATGGCTGCAGTCACCATCTGCAGTGATTTTGGAGCCCAAAAAAATAAAGTCTGTCACTGTTTCCACTGTTTCCCCATCTATTTGCCATGAGGTGATGGGACCAGATGCCATGATCTTAGTTTTCTGAATGTTGAGTTTTAAGACAACTTTTTCACTCTCCTCTTTCACTTTCATCAAGAGGCTCTTTAGTTCCTCACTTTCTGCCATAAGGGTAGTGTCATCTGCATATCTGAGGTTATTGATATTTCTCCCAGCAATCTTGATTCCAGCTTGTGCTTCATTCAGCCCAGCATTTCTCATGATGTACTTTGCATATAAGTTAAATAAGCAGGGTGACAACATACAGCCTTGACATACTCTTTTCCCAATCTGGAACCAGTCTGTTGTTCCATGTCTAGTAACTGTTGCTTCCTGACCTGCATACAGATTTCTCCAGAGGCAGGTCAGGTGGTCTGGTATTCCCATTTCTTTCATAATTTCCCACAGTTTGTTGTGATCCACACAGTCAAAGGCTTTGGCATTTACCAGAGTAATTCTAGTCATTTCTGACCAGGGAGGGATTCCAGCTGGGAGAAACCTGGCTTATCTAGGACTGCCTCTTCAGTAGCAAGGTTGAATTTGCCTTAGAGAAAGGGAATGTGAGCAATGTGTTTAGTGGCCGTTGCATTTAAAAAAAAAGAAGTCACACTGAAAATAGCAATGGGATTTAGAGATTGAGTAGTCCAGAAAGGGAAATATTAAAGACTTTGTACATATGACTTGAGAACAGATCCTTTGCTTACTGCTTTTGTAAGCCTGATAACACATAGTAACTTGGTTAAAATGTCTGTTTAACTTGGGATTTAATTTTGGATGAGTTACTAGTAAATATTAAGGCAATTCTTTGTATTTTAATACCTAGGTTTGGCTTGAAAAGAGGTTTTGGAGAATTTTGAAAATCTTAGAATTTAGCTAACTCCTTTAAGAATATCCTCTGGTGTATCTGTTATTTAATCCAAGGTCAGAGCTGAATTTAAGGTATGTCATGAGATGCTCATTATGAAAGTAATTTATAGTAAAACCCCAAAACTCTAAAATATATTTTTGAAATGTGGTTATTGGTTAAAATTATATGTAAATACTTGTTAAATTGATTCTAGGTTGGGCTATGCAGGCTGTTGCCTATATCTTCATTCATAGGAAATGGAAGGATGACAAGAGCCATTTTGAAGACATGATTGATTATTTTTGTGATATCCATGAACCACTTCAACTCCTTCTGTTCCCTGAGGGGACTGATCTCACAGGTAAGGTGGCCTGGGCTTGGATCACAGAACTTCACAAAATGAAGGCACTCTGAAATCAGCTATCTAGTCTAAACTTCTTGGTCCTCAGGTAACTGAGCACCAGTGAGATTAATGGCCCATCCCTGGAGTCATTCAGTTAATCAGTAGCACATCAGAACCCAGAACTCCTGGTGTTCAACCCATAGAATTTATAATTGGCAACTCCAAGAAATAGTGTTTTTATATATTAGTGTTATATATTATATACTTAGTATGTTTATATAACTAATATATATTATATATGTTTATGTTATATAACTAATTATATATTAGTATGTTTGATTTTTATAGTTAAAATTCTAGTAGTAGTTAGATCACAGAGGGTAATACTGAACATAATATTGGCTGCATATTGTTTAACTTTGAAATTATATTGTAAGTTGTAAGTTTATTGATTCCCAGAGCTGAATTATCATTGGGAAATTTTAATGGATAGACTGCCATATTTACATTTTTTAATAATTAGGATGTGTAATAGTTAAATTTGGGTACTGAAATCAGCTGTATTAGAGTATAGAAAGTCATTTACAGAAATAATAGATTTATATTTGTGAATGCCAAGGTGTACACCAAAGAGTGGCAACTTTGGAATTTATTTAGTTATTAAAAGATAATTGGATAAAAGCTCATGGGTTGCTGTTACTTTGGTATATCAGTATAAAAATGTTCATACATTAGATGTTCAGAAGTTATAAAGTAGATATTTTAAACTTTTTTCACTCTATTTTTTTCTCAAGTATCATTTTTAAGTGTTGAAAACATATATTTGAGTATTTTCAGGGTTCAGAATACTCATTATTCCATGATATAGTTGCATGTTTTTAAAGTCAAAACAGTATTTGCCAGATAGAGGAAACAGACTGATCTTAAAGCTTAAAAAAAATTTTTTTAACAATATTTTACAAATAGTTTTGAGTTGGGATATGATTTTCTTTATTTTTTCCCCAAGTAGGCTAGCAAATTACCTTTGGTGTGAAAAAGTATTTGTTAAAGGTGTTTTTTACACCTTTCATGATTAACTTTAAACTTGGGTTTTTAAGCCCAAAGAGCATGTTTTATGATCCTCTTTAGGTTCTGAATCCAAATTGTTTGCACATTTTAAAATTAGTGCATTTAAATGTAACTTTAAATATATTCTATTTTCATATGTTATCATTGTTTATAAACTTTTTTTTTTTGCTTATGCAAGTAATGTACACAGTACTACACAAGTGAATTTTGGGAAATTTATACTTTTTGTACTTAATGTTATATTGTAATATCACACATTGTTAGTCATGGTTGTTCAGAAAAATAGAACCACCTGTGTGTGTGTGTAGAAAGAGAGGGAAAGAGAATGGGTGGGTCAAATTAGGAATTGGCTCACATGATTGTGGAGGGTGGTAAATTAAAAATATATAGGGTATGTTCACAGGTGGAGACTAGGGGAGAGGTGCAGTTTGAGTCCAAAGGCAGTCTGCTGGCAGAACTCTTTTTTTTGGTTTGAGGAGTGAAAGTCGCTGAGTCATGTCTGACTCTTTGTGACCCCATAGACTATAGTCCATGGAATTCTCCAGGCCAGAATAAGTGGGTAGCTTGTTCTCTTCTCGAGGGGATACTCCCAACCCAGGGATCGAACCCAGGTCTCTCATATTGCAGACAGATTCTTTACCAGGGAAGAGCCTGAGTCATCAGGGAAGCCCAAGAATACTGGAGTCGTTAGCCTTTCCCTCCTCCAGTGGATCTTCCCAATCCAGGAATTGAACTGGGGTCTCCTGCATTGCAGGCAGATTCTTTACCCACCTGAGCTACCAGGGAAGCCCTTGTTTAAGGAGATTAATCCTTTTCTCTTAAGGCCTTCAAGCCCTTGAGTGAGTGGATGAAGCCCACTCACATAATGCAAAGTCTACTGGTTTAAATATTAATCTCATCAGAAACACCTTCACAGATACAGCTGAAATAATGTTTGACCAATATCTGGGTACTTTGACCTAGCCGATTTGCCACACAAAATTAACCATCACAATTGGTATACTATGATTTTGTGTTTTTTTTTCCTGGTTTGGAAAGGAAAGCTTTTCTTAGTATTTAACAGCTATAATGTCACATGCAGTTCAACACCCTTGTATATTTAGTAAACTTCTTCATTTAATAAATATATGAGTGCCCAGAGCCTCATATACCAAAAAATCTCTACTTTCATGAAGCTTACATTCTAAGAGGAAAGACAGATAAAAAAATAATAAAAATATGCCAGGTATTCATGCACGCCTTACAGGAAAAGCAAGATAAGGAGAGAGTAATAAAAGATGGGGGCATAGGGTGCTGTTTAAGTAAGGTGGTTTGAGAAGGCCCCTTGAGTGATAGTTGCTCAGTCATGCCTGACTCTTTGCAACCCCATGGACTATAGCCTGCTATAGACTATAGCCTTTGTTCACGAAATTCTCCAGACAAGATTACTGGAGTGGGTTGCCATTTCCTTCTCCAGAAAAGACCCCTTAACTTTTCATTTAAGTAGAGACTAAATGAACAAAAAAGAAGATCATGCAGATGTCTGAGTAGAAGGCATTCTGGCTAGAAGGAAGAACCTGAGGTGGAACATGACTGGCTGGTTTGAGATCATCCGAGCAGCCAGTATCACCGGAGTGGCAGGGCATGCTGGTGTTAGAGTGTTAGAGGGAGCCAGCTAACGAAACAGGAGGCTGTGGCGAGAAAGTGAGATGCTAGTCCATTAGTCCTAATAATCACAGAATCTGAGGGTGGGCAGATGAAGTGGGGAAGCAGGAGAAAATCTGCCTCTCTGATCTGTGTCTGATTATTTCTGTCTTTCCACATCGTGCCCATGCCTTTTAGAACTACTTCCACCTCTATTCACATTCTACATCAGAGTTCAGTTTTGGTCTTCAGATCCCCCCAAGTCTATGACCAGCTGGAAGGGAGAACTGAAGAATAGTTACCTACTCATCTTTGTGGTGACTCTGGGATTCCCCATCCCATGTAAGGTCCTTCCAGCTGTCTATAAAATACTGTTCTGTAGTCCCATCCCATGCCCAGAATACCCCCAGAATGAGAGAGGAGCTTATTCCTTTTCTTGTTTGTGGGCTTTTACTTTTGACCTGCTGGAAATCTGTTTAATTTTTTGACTCAGTTTACAGGAGTGTTCTTTGAGTGTTTCAGTGTTGTAGAATCCATCTATGCTTTTTTGAGATTTTGAGAACTCCATGGTCTTAAATTTACTCCTCAGAAAGTAGTATTTATTTATATAGTTTTTTTTCACCCCCTGGTGACTTGGAATGGTCTGAATTTCAGGATGCAGCTGAGAATTGCAGGTTCTAACATCTGCTGTCATCAGAAAGTATTTCATGATCTCCACCAGCAGCTGAGGCCAAATTTCTGAACACTTTACTTTTTCCAAATATAATTGTTGAATAATGGGCTTGGTTCTTCTTGGAACTTATAAAGTTACCTCATGGAATGGAAAAAGTTTTTGCCAACAGTTGGAACATATACTTGACTCAGTGACTATATTCAGCCAAACCATATTCAGATGTTTATGCATGATGTGCTAATCACATGCCCATTCTGTCGTGGAGTGGTTTTAGTTAGTAGTGTAAGTGTGCTGTGTGCCTAAGCAAGGAGATACTTCACTTTGCACTGAAGCCCTAAATTATTGGGTTAAAACAGTGTTGATCTATTTGGCAAATTGTTGGTTATTTCTTCTGGATATACAGATCCTTATGTTTTATTACTATTTTAGTTTTATTTCATCTTTATATTCTAGTATTTCAATTTTTATTATGCAATGACTATTTTATGAAAAATTTTAGTTATTATTTTATTTATATTTCAGTTTTCATTGTGTATTGACTATTTTATAAAATCTCTTAAAGAATTTTAAGGATTTGAATATGTTATAAAACATCTTTAAGATGTTTTAAGATCTTACAAGATCTTATAAGAATTTTCAAAATCTCAGTAAGTAGGTAACGCTAGGATTGTTGTTAGGGATTTAATAAAGTATTTCTATCATTTGATTCAGCATGTTATATTGAATAATTACAGAAAAATTAATTGCCATTTTTATAAAAAATTCTGTACTATTTCCTTTCTTTACTTATGGCTTTTACTATTGTTTTGTTTAGAAAATAGCATTACTCGAAGTAATGAATTTGCTGAAAAGAATGGACTTCAGAAATACAAATATGTCTTACATCCAAGAACTACAGGCTTTACTTTTGTAGTTGACCGTCTAAGAGAAGGTAAGCACCTGTCTCAAAATGTACTTTTTGTATGTAATTGGCAAAAATTGGTGAACTTCACATATAGCTCTTTTGAATTTATAAAGCACTTCTTTATACTTTATTTCAAGAAATAAGAATAATAGTGTATTTTTTTTTTTTTTAAAGTCCTGACCCTGACTCAGGTCAGTGAGCGTCCTTCCTGAGCGATATGGAAATGACTTATTTGCCTATAAGTGTCTGTCAGCAGCTGCACCAGATTGAAACTTGGCAGGCAGAGTGAGGAAGGGGTCATACTTCTTAAAACTCTATTTTTTTTTTTTAATTTAAACTTCTAGTTTTATTGCTTGCATTATCCAGAATGGAACTCCTAATCTCAAAGCTACACATTAAGAACAATTTTGAAAACATTTTTGTTTGTTTTTTTAAACAAAAACTACTGCAATGCCATAATGGATACCTAAGAGTATACTGACTTGACTCCATGCACTCAAATGTTTTAAAAGAATCAAAAGAAAACATTTTTTCTCCTTTTTTGGAATAGAAAATAATAAAATAATACATACAGTTAGTCTATCATTCCATTTTAAAATGTTTCTTAAAAGTTGTAAAACTGTCTTGAGAGTATCACCTGTAGTTATTTATAGCTTAAAAAATATTTTTATGTTCATTATTCCACTCAGTGCAACAAATGGTTCTGGTTGGTAGAAAGGAAGTACTGCTGCCTCCAGTTTATTGTTAAACAGAATTGGCACCCACGGTGGTTAGTCAGTTTCCGTAGGTCACGGACAGAACCTCATCCTTCTGCTTCCTGCTCTGTGGCTCGTGGTACCCTCTGCCCTCGTGTTCTCTCGAACCATGTTTATCGAAGGGCATCTAGAGATAAGGTTGATTCCGTTGACCATGTCACACTCATTTAAATGTTTACATTTTGATATTTTTATGGGGAAAAAAAATTGTACATCTTGTTCTAGCTGCATACTTAAGTAGTTATATCTTCATACACACATGTACATACAAATAAATAATAGACATTTGGATATATATGAAAAAAGAACTATCCAGAAACACCCTAATTGGCATCACTGTTGTTCCTTTAGGGTTTAACATACTTTAAGATGTAATGTATAACCTCATTTAGTGAACCCTGCCAAAAGAAGTATCTTTACAACTAAGTACTCATGAGTTAAAAGAAATGTATAAAAAGTCCAAAATCACATTGGTATAGTAAACTAAAGATGTTATCCATATTAGTTTGACTTGCTTTTGGAATTCTGTGGTTATAACTAAAATGAAATGGAAACATGGGCTTGATGGTCATATTGTTTATGACCATCTACCCATAGAACCTCATGGAGATCACAGTTCTTTATGCCTATGGAATAGGACAGGGAGCCCCAAGACACTAAAGCAGTGATCCTGCTATTTGTTTTTCTTCCTCAAAACATGGTACCACTTACTGTGGCATTCAGTTTAGGCTCACCCTTCTCATTCCATAATATGTTTTTTATTTTCTAATTGTCTGATATTTTATAGTATTTAATGATTACTTTTAAAGTATTTCTGACATCATGGAACATGCTGTTGGAACACATCTTTTGCTAATAAAGATCTTTTTAATTGTAGGCAGGATAATGGAGAAATTATTTTACAGTGGATAAGCATATATCTGTAGGACTAGCTGTTCTGAAATCTGGAACATATTTTATTAGCAAACTGATTTATAACTTTGGGGAACATGTATTACTTAGTCATCATTCAGAGTACTAGTTAACAACCATAGTATATAATTTTTCCTGCCCAAACTGGCAACTGATCTTCCCCCTTCAGTGTAACAGTCAAAAAAAAAAGGTAATACAGATGACTCCATTTGCTTCAGCTAAAAAAAGTTGATGAGTCTCTTTACCTCAGTTAGAAAAGTAGAATGGGTCCTATATACTATGATAATACTAGAAACAAGAAATGTGATGGCTATAATTATAATAGTAATCTAATCAGAACAGTAGCTAACATTTATTGAACATTTACTAAGTACCAGGCATTATACTAAGTGCTTTGTATGCGTAAAGTCAGTTAACCTCACAACAACCAATATTTAACTTGTAGAGCAAAACTAGAGCAGAAATTGAGGCAAAGAATCAGTTCAGAGTTATTGGAATATAGTTCATCTGACTGAGTAGGCTGTGGTCCTTCTACTGTAATATGGTGCCTCTTATATTTATAGTGTGATTTCAGTTAAAGCAGCTTTGTAATAAGAGTGAGCTGGCTGGTTTCTTCAAGGAAAGTATTTAAAAGAAAAAAGAGGCTCAATGGCCAGATAATGGAGGGATGGTAGTCACAAGTTGAAGCGGTTATGATGCTACCTGAAATGATAGATTGAGCAGGCACAGTCTGGTGGGGGTGAGGAGGTGTCAAGTGAACAGAGAGAATAGGTTTCATCAAGAATCAGAGGTAAAGTGGTTCTAAGACCACCATCTAGTCAGAGTGTCCTTTTAGAAAAGCAGTCTAATACTCAAAAAGGGCCCAACACAACTTTCTTATCTTTTTGAGATCTGCTTTTCGTAGTCAATTAAGTGGAAAAGCAGCTTGCATTAAACAAATGACCATCATAAATAAATATTCTAGTAGAAGCCCAGAGACCACATATTAAAACCAATTACTGAAGAAATCTTTGAAGACAAGATGGCAGAGTAGAAGGACTCAAACCTACCTCTTCTCACTAAAACACCAAAATCACAACTGCTGAATAACCATCAACAAAAAAGACTCAAACCTACCAAAAAAGATACTCTACCCACAGAGACAAAACAGAAGCCACAAGAAGATGGTAGGAGGAGCACTTTCATGATATGATGAAATCCCATCCCTCTGATGGGCCACCCACAAACTGGAAAATAATTTTATCACAGAGGTTCCCGCACAGGAATGAGAACTGAGAGCCCTACGTCAGACTCCCCAGCCTGCAGGTCTGGCATCAGGAGGAGGAGCCCGCAGAGCAGTTTGGCTCTGAAGGCCAGTGGATCTTGAGTAGAGGGGCTCCACAGGACTGGGGGAAACAGATGCCACTCTTGGAGGGCACAGACACAGTTTCGTGTGCACAGGGACCAAGGGCACAGCGATGACTCCGTAAGAACGTGGGCCAGACCTCCCTGTGGGTCTTGGAGGGCCTCCTGAGGGAGACAGAGGTAGGCTGTGGCTCACTCTGGGGACAAGGACACTGATGGTTGACACCTAGGGAATTCTCATCAGTGTGAGCTTTCCTGGAGGTTGCCATTTTGGCACCAAGATCTTGCCTCACCCAACAGCCTGCAGGTTCCAGTGATGGAATGCTTCAGGCCAAACAACCAACAGGGTGAGAACACAGCCCCACCAATCACGGGACAGGCGCCTAAAGTTGTCCTGAGCCAACAGCCATCTATAAACATACCCTTTGACACAGCCCTGCCCTCCAGAGGGATGGAACCCAGCTCTACCCACCAGGAAGCATGCACAAGCCTCCTTGGACAAGCCTTACTTACTGGGGGACAGAAACCAGAACCAAGAAGAATTATAATCCTGCAGCCTAAGAAACAAGAGACCATGAACATAGAAAGTTAGACAAAATGAGATGGCAGAAAAATATGTTGCAGAGAAAGGAATAAGAAGAAGAATAAGTAAGCAAACTGGAGATAGGTAATGTATTTGACAAAGAATTCAGAGTTTTTATAGTAAAGATGATCTCCGATCTCAGAAAAAGAATGGAGGCACAGACCAAAAGGATATGAAAATGTTTAATAAAGAGCTAGAAGCTTTAAAGAACAAACAGATGAACAATACACTAACTGAAAAAATACACTGGATGGAATCAATATCAGAATAAACAAGGCAGAAGAATAAGTGAGCTGGAAAACAGATTGGTGGAAACCTCTGCTGCAGTAAGAATAAAGAATAAAAGAATGAAAAGAAATGAAGACAGTATCAGTTATCTCTGGGACAACATTAAACACACCTTGCATTCCAGGGGTCCCAGAAGAGAGAAAGGGCCTGAGAAAATATTTGAAGAGATAATAACTGAAAACTTCCCTAACCTGGGAAAGGAAACAGTCACATGAGTCCAGAAGTACCAAGAACCCCATACAGGAGAAACCTAAGGATGAACACACCGAGACAAATAATAATCAAATTGACCAAAATTAAAGACAAAGAGGAAATACTAAAAGCAACAAGGCAAAAGCAACAAATAGCATAAAGGGATCTCCCATAAGGTTATCAGCTGATTGTTCACCAGAAACTCTGAAGGCCAGAAAGGAGTGGCATGATACATTAAAGTGATGAAAGGGCAGAAGCTACAACCAAGAATCCTATAACCAGGAAGGCTCTTGTTCAGGTTCCATGGAAAGATCAAAAACTTTACAGAGAGGCAAAATCTGAGAGAATTCAGTACCACCAAAACAGCTTTGCAGCAAATGCTAAAGGAACTTCTCTAGATGGAAAAAAAAAAAGGCCACAACTACAAACAAAATGAGAAATGAGAAAACTCACCAGTAAAGGCAAACATACAGTAAAGCTAGGAAATCATCCACTCACAAATGTAGTATCAAAACAAAAAACTCTGACAAGAGGAAATTACAAATGAAAGATGTTGGAAATGCATTTGAAATTAAGAGTCCAGCAACGTAATTTGTGTGTGTGTGTATGTGTGTATATCCATGGATATATGTATGGATATATACACATACATACACACACATATAGACTGCTATATCAAATCCTCATGGCAACAGCAGACCAAAATTCTACAGTTAAGTAACACAAACAAAACACTAAAGATAGCCGTCAAATCACATGAGAGGAAAACAAAACAGGAAGGGAAGAAACACAACCAAAAAAAAAAAAAAAAAGCAAAAAACACACCCCAGACAATTAACAGGATGGCAATAAGAACATAAATACTGATAATTACTTTAAATGTAAGTGGATTAAGTGCTTCAACCAAAAGACACAGACTAGGTGAATTGACACAAAAATCAGACCTATATATA